GGAGAAAACATCTTCTGGGATTTCTCTGTGCACAGAATAAAAAGGGCTTGCAGAACTGGGCACAGAACCATTTTAAAAATAACTTTGTTCTGTGTATGTGTCTTGTTCTGTGTATTTGTCTTTCTCTGAGGTATTTGTAATTTTACCAGCTGTATATCAAATGATCATCTTTCCCTCTCCTACTTGTGCTAACAAGAATATTTTAAGTTGCTCAAGTGAAGGGTGTGGGAGTAGTATGCTGTAATTTCTGTGGAATTTCTGATTAGAAGATGTGTTCACATTTAACAGTTTGGAGGGCAGGGAGGGTCAAGGAGGAGAAAAGTACAGCAAAAGCAATAGGCTGCACAAGAATACCTGAATGTTTCATAATTTTTTAGTTGATATGAAATTGCAGTTATTGAGTGGAAACTCTGGATTCTCCACTGGTTTTATTGAAAGTGGTGTACTGAGTTTCCATGGAGTAGAAAGAAGCAATGCACCATTTTTGATTCTCTTCTGAAAGCCTTTTGCTTGCCTGCTGCTCTCAAAACCAATTTCACATCTAGTAGATTGCTACAAATACTTGCTTGTTAATTAACCCCAAATCTTCAAAAATCGAAGACTTAAATCTATTTGCTTCGGTTTATATGGCTGTTATAAAACATGTGTATCACCTTTAATGAAGTAAGAATTTTTTTTTTTTTTGCATACAGCCAGACTATCATAAGCAAAATACTGGGCCTGGAACCAAAATTGTGATGCTATTGGTCTCCAATATTATAATTGTGTGCTGTTGTTTTGATCCTGCTTTTTCGGAGTTAGAACTCTCTGACTTTACACCATGATGTCAGCCATAAAGGATTATGACATCTTTAAACTTAGATGTAACAGAATGAGGTATTTCAGGCTTCTGTGTAGCTATGTTTTCACGTGGCTGTAAAGCTGTGCAAATTTTAAATGAATGTAAAGCTGTTAGACATAAACCAAACAAACCAGCAACAGAAAAACCCAAACACAAGTTCCAGAGGGATGTGTAAACTTGTACACAATGCCAAGATCGCCAGTGAATTTAGGCACTGAAAGCAGCAAGACCAGAAAAAGCTGTAACAAAATTACAACAGAAGACTTATGTTAGGGTACATATCATTCCCACTTGCTCCCATTGTAACAGGAATGCTTTTGGTATAGAAATATTTAAATCTCATTGGTTCATTGTTATACTTCCTATAAGTGCAATTCTATCAACACACATGAGTTTTCAGCACAGCTTATGTCTTTCTTACATAAAAAGACATAAAATTTGTTTAAAGCACCTTCACAGTGCTGATTCTGTTACTCTCATTTAAGTCCTGAGACAAAATTTTGCATGCAAATGAATATGAAAATACTAAATATGTAAAATACTTTCTATATGATATCTCTCCCTAAAAATATGGTTGAGCTAAGGGTCCATATGTCTTGTCTGGAAGGTAGGAAGGGGCTTCACCGTTGCCTGACAGGGGCTTACGTGGAAGAGTTTGTGAATGGTGGTGCAAGCACCAAAGCAAGAGCTGGGTGAGAGCACATGGGGGTGTGTTTGCAAAATACCTGAGCGTGGCAGCAGCAGGAGTAGGTTCCTGCAGAGGATGGAAGTATTGCCAGAAGAGTGCTGGAATCAGGTTCTCAGACAGCTGTCAGTGCTGTCTGCAGTAACTGAGTCATAGCTGGTGGCTGGGCTGATCCCTGCCCATTTTGCCTTTTTTCCTGGATGACTGCAGATGCAGGTATAGTACTGGGCCCCAGAGGGAATGGGGAGTCACAGCACTGATTTCTTGTTCAAAGAAGGAAGTAGAGGTGAAGCTTTTTATGTGGGCATTGCCAGCTCTAGAGGGTAGGTTTTTAATTGCTCAGCCCTGGATTCTTTTTTTCTTAATTAAGCTGCTCTTGGAGAATTTCTAAATTTATGACAGGATAAAATTCCTTGTTATGAGGAAACCTGGAGATTTGAAAACACGTGGAGGAAATTCAGTGTTGTAATGTGGGAAACATTCCTCAGCTCCTTGCAGTAACAACTTGTCAATATATTTTTGTCTGCTTGACAATATGTAGGAAATGCCTTTGATTTTGTAAAATTGCTTGTAATTTCTTAACATTTCTTTTGATTCTATTGATTAAAGCTTTTCTGCCTGCCTAGAGACGTTAAATAGCAAACCATCTGCTAAAAGTGAACTGGCAACATTCCTGAAAATTAACATTAAAAAAACAAGCTTAGTCTAAATATATTTCAAAGACTGTTTCCAAAGACTGTTTCTATTTGTGTTCTGAGATGAGGAGGAAAACAAAAGCTTCTCTTATAATCTGGCAAAAGATTGCAATACCTGGTGAAATACCAGTATTGTCTTCACACTGTGGGGAGAGAGATGGCAAAAAAGCAGAGAGGTAGGAGGAGATGTGATGCAAAAGTGTAATTACAAACACTATCCTAAGTGGCTCTGTGTTCACCACCTGTTTCCCTTTTCCAGGGATTGATGGATAAGCAGCCACTCAGCCCAAAGCACCCTGTGTGTGCCTGTCAGCAGGGAAATAAATACCCTAAGTGCAGTCATTAACTCCATGGGTTAAGTGTAGGTTACAGAGTAATCCCCATGCCCCAAGTTTTGCTAAAATAGTGAAGTGATAAATACAGAACTGGGGTGATCATGGAGAGTGATTTTTTTTTGGATTATGCTGAGTTCTACTCACCAGTGATTTTTCTGATCACTGTTTTTTACAAAGATCCTTGTGTGAGCAGCTTTTGGCTGAGTGGCTGTTCTGAAGTTCAGAATAGAATGCTTGCAGGAGCAAGAGCTCTGAGTGTTTGAAGTGTTGGGTCAGCCACAGGGAATGTTTCTTGGCAGGTTAAGACAAAAACCTTGTGCATTTAACCTGGCTTTTGTGGCCAGGTTTTGCCAGGCAAGAATGCCATGTAACTTACCTAAAAATTTTGTTTATCTGTTTAGGGGTAGAAGGAAAAGACAGAAGGAATTATTCAATGTGCTGGCGCAGATTCAGCGGAAGATAATTCTGCGTATTTGCTTCTCCAGCAATTGGATTATCATTTCTAACTGTCCGGTTAAGATCAATTTTAAGTAGTAAAATCATCTCTGAAGGCACTGTATGTTTACACCCTTTCTGTTACTAAAAAAAAAGATACAAGGCTTTTATTTGAAAGTGAGAACATGGAAGTCATGGGAATGACTGTTCTGTCATGAGATTTTTTTCTTTACCTTTAAAACCTTAAGATATTGATAGATGTTAAATTATTTTTAAGACTGCATTCTTCCCACAGAAAGAATGTAACAGAGACCCCCTGGATTGAGTTCTCAGTCAGTGTGATGGCACTCAAAGTCCTTGCTCTCAAATCTTATCCCTGCTGGACTCCCATAAATTGCTGCTGTGGCCATGCTGCAGTAGTTCACAGATCTGAGGCACTGTGGGGCGGGGAGGGAGCAGAATGATCTGTCAGAGCAGTGTGAGAAGCAGGGACTTGCTCTCTCTGTCCCATCTCTGCCCCAGAATTCTGCCCTGGATTACCCACAGGCCACACTGGGTTCATGGAGGGAGGCTCTCCCTTGCCTCACATCTGTGGAGTTGCTTTTGTTCTTACCACCATGTAAGGTCTGGGTCTGAAGCATGAAAAAGGGCAAGGGAAAGAAGAATCAAAGTATTCACTAGCATAAAAGATAAAGTAATTATTATAGGAGTGACATAAATACTGTGTCAAATTCCAGGCAATGGCAAATATTAACCAGCGTGTTCTGTGCTGCCTGTCTGTTTTTCAGCCTTGTGCAGAGCTGGGAGCCAGGCTGTTCTGGTGTGTCAGTGAGTGCCATGGCACTGTCTGGCTGTTTTTACTGGGGACGTGGTGCAGAGAATGGGAGGGGTTTAGCCACAATGGCAGCTTGTGACAGTGAGAGGGATGACAGGAAAAAAAAAAGATTAAACAACAGCGTAGGATGTAGCAGTTTAGCTTTGCTACGTTCAGCTAAGAAAAAAGTGTGATTTTACTTTAAAAAAATACTTTTAATGCATCTGTTTTGCTCTCTGTTCAATGGTTATGCTACACATTTATTGAGTGACTTTGAATTTGCCTTTCTGCTATTTGATGAGAACAGATGTTATTTTCTCCCAACTTCTTGACACCTGTAACTGTCAAAATTCCCTGTGCTCACTTAATTACCATCCAACAAGAAGGATTTATTCAGGCAATTTACCTAGAAGGGCCAATTCAAAACAAGATACCCTTTTCACTGCTATTGAAATAAACTCAAGAAATCCTGTTTATTTCATTCATTGGAATGATTAGCTCTGTCTTTTAGATTAAAAAAATAAAAATGCAATTTTATGAAGTCACATAAGGCAGCAGGAATAACACTGGGACTAGAAAGCCCAACCTGAAGGAATTTACACATTTACATTTCCCATCTTTCAGTTCCAGTATTTTAAGGGGAAGTCTTGCACCCCTCTTAAGTGGAGAAACATAATTTTCCTATAGGTAACTATTGTTATTGATACTTTAGACCTGAGCACGATGTTTTAGCCACATTCCTTTTCCCAGCACTGAGCAGGATGTGTTTTCAAGTCATCTCATGTCTAGCAATGGTTTTTTTTAGCTTGCCTTTGCAGCTCCAAACCCAAAGTGTGAACTGAAATGGATTGCCTAGAGATACGAAGGAGGTTGCAGTCAAGCAATTAGAATTTGGTTGAAAATTTAAATAGTTTAAAGCACTGCAGCAATGCCACATGGCAGAATGTGCTTGAGGCCCAGTGCAGAGCATGGTGACCTTTTCCCCTTTACCAGTTTTCCTCTTTCTTTCTTTTTTTTCTTTTTTTTTTTTCCTCTTAGTTAACTTAATTAATATCTTGTGTTTTCTAGGAGTTTTTCCTGCCCCTCCCATCATTACCCTGATTATTTAAAACTTGAGCACCTGTGTTGTAATAAGTTAGGAGTTTTCAGTTGGTGGACTTTGGGAACTTGCAGATAAAAGTAGTTAGGAAAAGATAAGTTGGGCCGTGGGATGTTTGTTACAAATGTGCAGGGGCTCCTATGCTGCCTATCTCTTTGAAAGAGATTTTTTGAGAACTAAGTGACTGTTGAAAAGGTCTTTGCTAAACTCTGTAAGCAGCCAAATTTCAGGGAGTACTTACAGTGCAAAATAGCATAAGGTGGAATGAAAATTAATTTTTCTCTAGCAACTTGATCCACTTTACTAAAAAGCCACAGAAGGTAAGGTTAGTCTCCTTCTGTTCTTGTTATAACTTGTTTTCCAGAAATGTGGAAGCAGCCAGTTGGCCAACATGCTTCCTTTCTACTTTCTCAAGAATGGCATTCTTTGACTGCCTCAGCCTTGGATCCGTATATGGAATTGTAAGAAGGGCTCCAGGGTCTGCATGCAAGTTATTTCCAGTTGTTCAGTGTGGGCAACTTCTTGAATGCCTTTGTTTGTTGATATATGCATTTTAAATTGGCTCTTGATTGCTGTGACGTGTTTTAGGCACTGCCTCTTACCTGACACAAAAAGTGCAGGCAAATCATTAGTGTGAGTAAAAACCTTAAAATTAGAAATGATGACAAAATGCACAGCTGTCAGAGGAGCAGAATTTCAGTAAAATGTTTTTGAAAAACTTATAAGTCCCATTTCTCTAGGTCTCTTAGATATGTTTTGAAATTTTTTTTTCTGTAAGTTACTTTGAAGCTTCTAGTGCTTAATCTCCTCTAGTGTGTATTCCCTTTCCAAGAAAAAAAGTTAAATTACTTGAGGCATACCTCAGGATTTTCCCACAGGGAACTGGAGGTAAAACACCAGCTAATAGAAATTCTGAGGAATTCACACAATACATTTTAGTCATTATGTAATTGCTTAAAATTATTACCAGTAATGTTGGCATTAAAAAGAGGAATCAGATGCCTGCTGGGTTATCTCATAAGCTTTCTGTTTTTTATTTCTGAATCTGAACTATTAAGAAAGTAATCTGTCTACCTTTCTAGTAGCTTTGGAACCTAGCAGTCAAATAATCGAAGGTTAAAAATCTTGGAAATAACTATATCCATGTAAGTCTCCTCCAGCTAATAGAGGGTGACACTGTAGGCACTCTCTTGTGCCAGTTGAAAAGCTGCATTTATGAATATTCACTGTCAGACAATGTGCATGTAAAAGAACACTCACCTGTTCCCAGTAATTTCCTGAACATTGTAAAATTTTCAAAAGTGCTTGCATTAACCCCAGAACTAAGTCTAAAGGAAAAGTGGCATTATCTGCTCTTGTTCTCAGTGATCTGATTTATTTAATAATGTCTTTCCTAAGCTTTTGGGAAGAATTTCTGAGCAGAAATGGGACTATTCGTTCTACTAAGATGACTGCCAGGTCCTGGTCTGTACTGCAGCGTGTTTCCTTTTCCATCATCTAAACTGAATTGTGATTGCAGATGGATGAGAAACTGGGACACAGCAAAATTAGCAGCAGTATTAGTAAATGAGACAGAAAGTGTACTTTGCTATTTCCAGCTATTGTGCAGAAGATCATCTGAGCTGGCTGTCCATTTGCTCAGCTTGATGGGATCACGTGCGCTTCCAGAGACTGTGAGTAGGAAATAGAGTGGCTGCTGGAATTCAGCATCTCTGGGAATGGGACAGTGAAACGTGAAGAGGGGTCTTCACCACTCCAGTCTTAATTTCAGGAGCCAGCTGTCCCATTTGCAAGGACCAGAGAATGTAAAACTAAGTGAAAACTAGATGGAAACTTGCCAGGTTGCATGTGTGCACTTGCAGAGCTTGGGAGCCTGTCAGTGGGAAGGGCTGAGCTTTTGACACCTCTTGGGCTTTTTTATTTCAAGCTTGGCAATGTCAAAACATACACCATCCCAGTGGGACAGATAAAGTTTTCAATGTTTTCAATGTTTGAGGAGGATAATGTCTGTCAGTATCTGAAGATTCTTCCTGTTTGCTCAGCATGTGTGGTATCCTCCTATAAGAAATTAGCATTTTACTGCAGAGGGTGATGGTTCTGCGTCCTTCAGAGCACTGACTTCACCACTTCAGTTAGCCTGTTGATTTTTACATAATCATTTGCCCTTCTGGAGGAGCCTGAACTTGAAAACAAATTGTCAGTAAAGGTCTTTGCCACTGAGAAGCAGGAGGTAAGAATGTCAGTAAGGTCTGCTGATGGCCAAGCTGCAGTTAAGAATTTTGGTGAACTATTCCCTGACAACTGTGTTTTCTAGTTATTCTTAAACTAAAGGCAGATTTCCAAGACATGATATTCTCAGTGTAGTGAGCACTGGCTTCACTCTGTATTAAGGTGCAGATAGGTCCCTGAGCCCGTCTGTAGGGAATTGCAGAAAGCTCTCCCAGATTTCCATTTGGGCCTCCACAGCCATTGGAGCAGGATCATTATTGCTAAAGGGATATCAGTTACAGGAAAGGTGAGTGTCTGCTGGAAACCTGCCTGTTGGAATAGCTGGGATCCAGAGTAGTTCTTTCAGTGAATGGTGCTGCCTCCTTTGGATATTACTGGTGGCTGTTCTCCCTGAAGGTGGGGATGATTTTTCTTCCATTCAGGCACAGGTGACACCTTGAACTTGCTGAGCTCATTAATATCCCTAAACAAAACAAAAGCTTCAGTGTTTACTGCTCTAGAAGGAGGCTTGTCAAATTCAATCAGTCATTATATTTACATGGCAAGTAGTTTTTGGGAAATACCATAATCAGCCTGTGTATGAATGTTTTTCTGAAACAAAGCACAGAAACTTAACACTGTTTGGGACCCTTTGCAATAAATAGAATGGCTAAAAGAGTGTTTGCAGCAGGAAGATAAATGTTGTTACATTTTTAATAAGTGTGTTTTTTTTTCTTCCATAATGGAAATTCTTTTGCTGTTTTTGTTGGGAATCTTCTTTGTCAGAGGACATATTTATCTCCTCTTGTTAAGGCTCAATTTATATGCTAACTGCTTTGGTAAAATGCCAGCTGACCTTGTGACAATTTTGTACACATTGGGACTGGGGCCCTTGTGGTGTTTGTTTCTGTCACTAGTTTGGATGCAATTCCTTTTCTTGCTTTGCACTGCACAGGAAATACTACCTTATAATTTACATTTGTAGAGAAGAAATAAAGACGTGCAAAGAAGGCACTGTGTTTCTTTTTGGGAACAGATTTTTATGGTGCAGGTGTAGTTCCAACCCCCCTTTTTAAAATTGTGTGGTATTTCAGGGTGGCAGAGCAGGCACATTTGCAGGGTTACCATGTCCAGTTCAGGAAGAAAAAAAAAAAAAAGAAAGAAAAGAAAAGCACAGTTTGACCTAACAAGGGAAATTCTGATAGTCCATCAGTTGTGGTTCTGTCAGCTCTGTACCTTATATTATCTTGGCAAAATTTCAGCTGGCAGGCTTTTGTAGAGTTCTGGGCTGTCTTGACTATGACTGAAATTTGTAAAAAAATCTTATTTGATGACTACAGCATGGTTTCTTTGTAAAGCATGTATTTTCTGTGGTTTTCTGTAATGTAATTTAGTGCTGTAACAAATATTTTATTCCTTGTTAGGAGAACTTTCCCCAAATGAAGTTTGAAAATTTACTGTAGAGGCAACAAAGCCATTAGGAGCTGTAGCAGTGCTATACAAAAACAAGAATTCCTGTCCACTGTGGTGAACCAATACTTTCACAGTTAAACCCATTTTAATTCATTGTCTTAGTAAGAGCTGCCTAGCAGCTTATTGATGAGAAGCCAATTGTTTTTCTTTTAAAATTTCACTTTCATGAAATTCTTTACACATGGATTACAAAAAACCCTCAAACAACAAAACCAAACCACAACCCTCAAACCAATGTAATCGCTTAAATCTTTCTGTAGAAGAACAATAAAGACAATTCTGCTAGGTGACTAAGGATATTTTGTGAATTACTACAAGCTTTAAACACAACACTGTAAGGAACTACAGTTTAGAAATTCTCAAGTTTAGCATTAATTTGATAGAGTAATGACAGATATGAGGGATATAAATAGAAATTCTTGTATGTGAATACGAAACCTCTGAAACCCCAAATTTGCCAATTTTTAAAGGAATATCTGATCTTAATGTATGTTATTGATTGGTTTTTCAACCCAGAAGCTCTGTTTAATTATTAATACATCTCTCTCCAAGAATCTCCAGTTTCTAATGTGTGTTTAAAAGCAAAACCTGTTCCCTGCCTCTGAAAGCCCTGAAACCCTGGCCCTTGTGCCTTTGCCTGAATAAGCTGGTGTTTACTCAGAGCTGCAGCACAGCCTATAGAAGAGCTGAGTTGCCATTTACTCTGTTAATATCTTAATTCCATTCAGCTTGTGTAAATGGCCTCAGTGCCATGAACACTCTCCTTCTAATGGAATGTTTCGAGCTATTGATTCCTGGGCTGACTTTATTGCATGCCTTAAGGTACAAACCAAGTTGGAGGCCAGCTCTTTGTTCTGCAGGTTTCCTCCAGAAGTGCTTCTGTACAGCTCAGAAAAAGGATTCCAAGGCAAGTTGCCTACCTCTGAGTTTCACTGAGTTTTGGGTGCTCAGCAACTTTAATCAAAAGGCTTTACTGAGACAGGAGTTTAATTAATGGAAATGCACATTTTGTACCTCCATTTCCTCTTCCACACATAGGTTTTCCCATAATGACTCTTCAGAATAGAAGCATCCAAGATTTGCATGTTTGATTTTTCTGATTTTGAGAATATATGCTACTTTAGATTAAGCTCCCAATTGCCTTCTAAAAGTTACTTAATTATTTTTTTTCCCTTATCTTGGAGCTGGAAAATTTCCAGACAAAATATTATATTTTCTGAATTGCATAGTACTTGACTTTTTTCTTAATCCTGATGACTCCTGCAATCCAACTGGCTTGATCTGTAAAGCCACAGTCAGCATGAGTGACACTGGGATAATCTGCTTCACTATGCATTTTGATAGAAATTAATTCCACCATGACCCTGTTGTTTTTCCAGACCAGTCTGTAGCCTGTTCCTTGACCAATTTTTGAAAACGATGGCTGGAGCAGTTACTGTTGAGTTTTTACGGGTACAGAAACGTCCAAGTGGTTTATTCTGTATATTCCAGACTGTTATGAATGTTACTGTTTTCTTCTTACAGGCTTTTTTTTTGTTTGTTTGTGGGCTTTTTTTTTTTCCCCCTCAGTCATATAGGAGTAAGAAAATGTGTGTGCAGAACATTAAAATTTATTATGGCAGTCCAATTGATGAGTTCA